AAACCAAATCGCAAGCACATTTCAGAGTTTTATCCCTGAACAATACGGTTTGTTTACTTATTGTGCCGACGGATCTCCAGGCACTCCACAGCCATGGCGAAGACGGTGGCTCTGGCGGGGATGACCCTCCCGGTCGCAGAAGGGTCCGTGGATGCAGTCTCCCCACTCTATATGAAGACACAACACAAATGACTATGATGCAGCAATACAAGATGGCCGCTCACTTCACAACAAGGGAGTGCCATTGACGTCAACTGCCGTCAAAAATGTTGTTTTTTCAAATTCTTTGTTTATTTTATTTTTAGGGGTTTGGGCTGATAAATACGATTGGCCAACTCTGGTTCAATTTATCAAGCTGGAAAAGCTTAAAAAAAAGAACTATGAACTATGGTCAGCTGATGACACCTGTTAGTTATATTTCGACGTAGAATTGATGTAATGTACAGACACGCACGCACACACACTACTAAATACTACTACTACTAAATAATGTGCAAATAGTTTGTCAAATGTAAAACTGTGGCAATGGTGATATTTCTAAATCCATTATTTTGCCATCAAAAACACATTTCCATTGTGACTGTGGGTATTTTATCTGTGAAAACGAGAGTATCCATTATCTTGGGACTCCCTTCCATGACTGCCTTTGTCGTTACCTGCGGCGGCAGGAGCAGGTGGTGCCAAGCATGGATGAGACTCTCGATGATACCTTCTCCGAACAAGCCAGCGTCTACCGTCTCCGTCACCACCAGCGACACCCTGGCAGATCAACAAAGCAAATGAAAGGGGGCGAGTTAGGAGGAGGGACGGCTGGAGAGATAGATTTTTTTTTTCTTATGTAGTGTTAGTAATGCCTCTAGATATGGTTCTGCTATTGCATTACAATGCACACTTAAGTTTGCATCTGATTGGTCAAAGTGAGACAAATGCATACAACGCATATGAAAGTCATAATTTATTGCACACCTTTGCAATACGCACATTGCATGTTGCATTATCCCAATGACAATATTTTTTCGATATATTGTGAGGCCTAAATAGGTTACATGAGATCAATTCTCAAATGGTAGGACAGGCCGCCCTGGAAGCAATACGAGGGGGCATTTGTGTGACCCAAGGGGAACATGCTTTTTTGATGTAGTGCAATTTCGCATACACGACAGTAGGTGGCAGTGGTCATCTCATTGTTAGAGTGTGCGCGGGGACGACCAATGTGCAATGAACGACAAATCGTGACTCACCTGTTTTGAGTTTGGTCATGTGACAAATTTACAAACTCAATACGATGCTTTTCCCATCCTCGCAAAAGAACCTTGCGCGTACCTGTGTGGGATGTCCTTTGGCACTTCCATTTCCAAAGACTTCATGTGGAGGATCTTTGTGCCTTCGTCCATCCCGTTGGCCGCCACCACCTCGCAGGCCAGCTCGTACATCGTCTTGGACAGCTCGCAGGCGTAAACCTCGGTGGCCCCCGCCTTCTTAGCACACATGCTGACAATGGAGAAAATTGTCGGGAATAACGTTAACGATGAGGCACGACAAGGTCGCGCCCAATCACAAAACATACCCGAGCGTCCGCATCTCACCCAAGGATCCCAGTTCCAGTACCTATGTCCAGTACAGTGTTGCAGCCGCCGCGCACCGCCTTCTGGATGGCCTGCTGGTACTTGCGGTTGCGGCCGTGGTCGTTGAGCATGAGGAAGTGCCAGCGCTCCACCAGCCAGTTGGCCACACGATAAAAGTTCTCCCTGGCCTCCGGGAAGTCTGGCTTCAGCTTCAGGGCTTTGAAGAAATGGCCCGCCGCTTCATCACAAGAATTAAAACTGCTCACTGTATAATAATCTATAAATATTTTTTTTTCCCCCATGACTTTTGATTACTGCAACAGGGGGATGGATGCAAATAGATCAACTGAGAATTAAAATCGCAATAAAATAAGCAAACTAGATGAGAAAAATATATCATATTATTATTGTTGCCGGTGTAACTTTTTAACACAGCGATAGTGCCCTGCTGAAAACAGTCGAAGTCCACAAATAATTGATACCTACACAAAAAGGCAATTACCAAGAAATGCCACAAATGGTGGCACATCACTCATTTTTCCATTAGACAAAGTTATGGCCTGATATATGAAGCCCCTCCCCTCAATTCATTTTTCTTTGTTCCAGTCCACACGCTTTTTACTCCTCTAAGAGAATTTGATTTTTTTTTTTAATGTCTAAATTAGGTAGTGGAAAAAAAATACATTGTCAAGGTGGGGATTCTCCTCTTTGTGAGAAGACTTGACAAAATCTGAGCTATAATGTTTTTAAAACTACGGTTTTTTTTTGTTTTGTTTTTTTTATACAGAGGATAAATAATATATGCCTGTGAGTATCATTACATTTTCTGTCTCCATGAGTTGTGTTCAAAAACCCGTTGCCAAATAGATGCTATTTGCTCATCAATGGTGTTTTACATTATTTGTTAGCCTTTAGCTAAGCCACAGGTATCAAACTCAAGGCCTGTGAAAGCAAATCATGTGTGTCAAGTTCCATAACCCTTGCTAAAATCTGTGCCAAAACCTTCCATTTTTATGTGTAACAAATGAAAAACAATGGTGATGATAATTTTTTTATGTTCCACTTTTTACAGTGGCTTGAACAATCACGCAAAGCCTGAACCAAAAACAGACCAAAAAAAATCAATGAATATATAAAATTGGTTTATTGCCCTTTTTCAGATTGTTTTGCAATTCAACTATTATCCTTGAATTCGGATTTCGAAACTAGCATCCCATCAATTTGTGGTGTATATGTCATCACACAATGAGACGATTAAACATTTATTTTGTTTCACCGTCATGATGGCCGAGTGAGGGACGCTGGAACTACGACAAACATGATTTGGACACCCCTGAGCTACTGTCGGGGGATTTAAAACATATCTGTGTGGTCGTTTTCCATACGCAAAGTGGAAACTGTGATGTTGCATGACCATCAATAAAGTAGCTCATACCTGAAGAGGTGCTCGCCCATGCTGTTCAGAATGACCTCGTCTGCAGGGAAGAGCTCCAGTGCTTGCTCGTAGCAGCCAAAGAGGTCTTGAATGCGGCCCGCTGAGTCCAGCTCCTCGGCCCATTTAAAGAGTGTGAAGCGGAAGGACTCCTAAAATTTTATGAGCGTTTCAGTATCGGCATTGAGGTATCAAAGTCAGAATTTTGCGATCATGACAACACTAGTGACACCCTGTCTGTTTGTTTTTTTTGTTTTTTTTTAGCAGCATCCTCACAGACCTTACCCTGGCAAAGTCCTTGAACTCGGGCGCCAGGTTGAGGACCAAAAGGTAGTGCACAAATGCGGGCCCATAGTCTTGGCTGAAGAGGCACTGTTGGGCACTTTCCAAGGAGCTGGCCAGCAGTTCATTCCTGGCCGGGTCCTCTCGAGGACGCCTACGGGTTCTCAATATATAAAATTGGTTTATTGCCCTTTTTCAGATTGTTTTGGCCTTTTGTGTCCATGTACATAGTGTGTGTCATGTTAATGATTGGCTGCACAGCCAACAGCGGGAGTTTCCACTTTTTCAATTTAAAATTAGTTCTTCTTCTCCGTCTTAAAATCTAAACCAAATCGCAAGCACATTTCAGAGTTTTATCCTATACGACTAATGCAGTCATGCAGACAGAAACATAGTAGACTTTCACATCTGCAGTAAATGGCTCAGTAAGCTACAGTAATATTGGTTTTTTTTTGTTTTGTTTTTTTTATACAGAGGATAAATAATATATGCCTGTGAGTATCATTACATTTTCTGTCTCCATGAGTTGTGTTCAAAAACCCGTTGCCAAATAGATGCTATTTGCTCATCAATGGTGTTTTACATTATTTGTTAGCCTTTAGCTAAGCCACAGGTATCAAACTCAAGGCCTGTGAAAGCAAATCATGTGTGTCAAGTTCCATAACCCTTGCTAAAATCTGTGCCAAAACCTTCCATTTTTATGTGTAACAAATGAAAAACAATTCAACTATTATCCTTGAATTCGGATTTCGAAACTAGCATCCCATCAATTTGTGGTGTATATGTCATCACACAATGAGACGATTAAACATTTATTTTGTTTCACCGTCATGATGGCCGAGTGAGGGACGCTGGAACTACGACAAACATGATTTGGACACCCCTGAGCTACTGTCGGGGGATTTAAAACATATCTGTGTGGTCGTTTTCCATACGCAAAGTGGAAACTGTGATGTTGCATGACCATCAATAAAGTAGCTCATACCTGAAGAGGTGCTCGCCCATGCTGTTCAGAATGACCTCGTCTGCAGGGAAGAGCTCCAGTGCTTGCTCGTAGCAGCCAAAGAGGTCTTGAATGCGGCCCGCTGAGTCCAGCTCCTCGGCCCATTTAAAGAGTGTGAAGCGGAAGGACTCCTAAAATTTTATGAGCGTTTCAGTATCGGCATTGAGGTATCAAAGTCAGAATTTTGCGATCATGACAACACTAGTGACACCCTGTCTGTTTGTTTTTTTTTTGGTTTTTTTTAGCAGCATCCTCACAGACATTACCCTGGCAAAGTCCTTGAACTCGGGCGCCAGGTTGAGGACCAAAAGGTAGTGCACAAATGCGGGCCCATAGTCTTGGCTGAAGAGGCACTGTTGGGCACTTTCCAAGGAGCTGGCCAGCAGTTCATTCCTGGCCGGGTCCTCTCGAGGACGCCTACGGGTTCTCCTGCCACTGTGCTTTGGCTTTGCGCTGGCATTAGGCATCCCCTGGAATGGTTACGGGACATTTCGGAACACATTCACGCCCCATAAAATGAAAAAGAAAATTGAATTTATATTGCTACCTCATGCTTTTTATCGCCATTTTTCTTTTAATATTCTATTTTTCACATCTTGCTATTGAACAAATAAACAATAAAATTTTTGCTACATGTATATTCGTCATCATATTACCATTTTAATCTTGTGATGTTTTGCTGCTAATCTTATAAAATTGTAATTTTAACCCAGCAAATTTATGATTAGTGTACTTCAGAATGTTACACTATGTTGCTGTTGATATTGAAATGTTAATTTTTTTCAGGCAATATTTTCAAACCACTGCTCAAATAGTGCTGCTGTTTTGCTTTGCTATGTTGCTGTTGATATTGAAATGTTAATTTTTTTTCAGGCAATATTTTCAAACCACTGCTCACTGTGCTCAGGTAGTGCTGCTGTTTTGCTTTACACGACAAGGTCGCGCCCAATCACAAAACATACCCGAGCGTCCGCATCTCACCCAAGGATCCCAGTTCCAGTACCTATGTCCAGTACAGTGTTGCAGCCGCCGCGCACCGCCTTCTGGATGGCCTGCTGGTACTTGCGGTTGCGGCCGTGGTCGTTGAGCATGAGGAAGTGCCAGCGCTCCACCAGCCAGTTGGCCACACGATAAAAGTTCTCCCTGGCCTCCGGGAAGTCTGGCTTCAGCTTCAGGGCTTTGAAGAAATGGCCCGCCGCTTCATCTCGGAAGCCCATTCTGAGTTGTTTTTAAAAAAAAATGGTTGAAAAAATGGTATCCCCAACAGGTCGCGTTGGATTTTCATTGGCACAGGCAGCACTTCTTCACCAAGCTGGCTAATTGCACGTCAGTTACTGTGCAGAGAAATATACGACTAATGCAGTCATGCAGACAGAAACATAGTAGACTTTCACATCTGCAGTAAATGGCTCAGTAAGCTACAGTAATATTGGTTTTTTTTTTGTTTTGTTTTTTTTATACAGAGGATAAATAATATATGCCTGTGAGTATCATTACATTTTCTGTCTCCATGAGTTGTGTTCAAAAACCCGTTGCCAAATAGATGCTATTTGCTCATCAATGGTGTTTTACATTATTTGTTAGCCTTTAGCTAAGCCACAGGTATCAAACTCAAGGCCTGTGAAAGCAAATCATGTGTGTCAAGTTCCATAACCCTTGCTAAAATCTGTGCCAAAACCTTCCATTTTTATGTGTAACAAATGAAAAACAATTCAACTATTATCCTTGAATTCGGATTTCGAAACTAGCATCCCATCAATTTGTGGTGTATATGTCATCACACAATGAGACGATTAAACATTTATTTTGTTTCACCGTCATGATGGCCGAGTGAGGGACGCTGGAACTACGACAAACATGATTTGGACACCTCTGAGCTACTGTCGGGGGATTTAAAACATATCTGTGTGGTCGTTTTCCATACGCAAAGTGGAAACTGTGATGTTGCATGACCATCAATAAAGTAGCTCATACCTGAAGAGGTGCTCGCCCATGCTGTTCAGAATGACCTCGTCTGCAGGGAAGAGCTCCAGTGCTTGCTCGTAGCAGCCAAAGAGGTCTTGAATGCGGCCCGCTGAGTCCAGCTCCTCGGCCCATTTAAAGAGTGTGAAGCGGAAGGACTCCTAAAATTTTATGAGCGTTTCAGTATCGGCATTGAGGTATCAAAGTCAGAATTTTGCGATCATGACAACACTAGTGACACCCTGTCTGTTTGTTTTTTTTGTTTTTTTTTAGCAGCATCCTCACAGACCTTACCCTGGCAAAGTCCTTGAACTCGGGCGCCAGGTTGAGGACCAAAAGGTAGTGCACAAATGCGGGCCCATAGTCTTGGCTGAAGAGGCACTGTTGGGCACTTTCCAAGGAGCTGGCCAGCAGTTCATTCCTGGCCGGGTCCTCTCGAGGACGCCTACGGGTTCTCCTGCCACTGTGCTTTGGCTTTGCGCTGGCATTAGGCATCCCCTGGAATGGTTACGGGACATTTCGGAACACATTCACGCCCCATAAAATGAAAAAGAAAATTGAATTTATATTGCTACCTCATGCTTTTTATCGCCATTTTTCTTTTAATATTCTATTTTTCACATCTTGCTATTGAACAAATAAACAATAAAATTTTTGCTACATGTATATTCGTCATCATATTACCATTTTAATCTTGTGATGTTTTGCTGCTAATCTTATAAAATTGTAATTTTAACCCAGCAAATTTATGATTAGTGTACTTCAGAATGTTACACTATGTTGCTGTTGATATTGAAATGTTAATTTTTTTTCAGGCAATATTTTCAAACCACTGCTCACTGTGCTCAGGTAGTGCTGCTGTTTTGCTTTATCATGTGATTTTATTATTAGTTTTTGTGTATGCAAGGGACGTCACAACGAGGACACATTTGAGCATGGGAAGATTGACATACTCTAAAATTGGGATAATCTATAACAAGTTATGTGTTAATGAAATACAGCACACCAAATGATCTGAATCATGCGTCATGGACATGTATTAATTAAAAAATTGCAACTCGCAACGCGTCACTATTGTTGACCCACCGTAAAAGAGTTTCGATCACAGCCAGGTAATCTCTGCAACGCGGTGCTTGTTGTCGTTTCAAAACAAAAAGTAAACAATACAAACGACGTTTTGGCTGACGTTTCGGGCACGCTTTGCGTCAAAATATGTCTTTAATGATAAGCCTCCGGAAGGCTCTTCTTCTCCAAGGAGGCATCTCGGAGTCGGTTCCAAACAAGCAGAAAGAAACCACCAATACGTAAGGTTTCGCCCCCTCAATTCAAATACAGTGGTCGCGTTGTAAACCGGAGCTAATAGCACTATGGAGCTAGCTGTGTCCTTACGGTAAATCTACTCGGGTGTTCAACACTTAAGAAAATAACGTTCCGCCTCAACACGTAGTCTCCCTCGATTTTAAAAACGTCGAAAACGTTATTTTGCAAAGACATAAAACAATTCGAAAACTAAAATTAGAAACAGCCATGACAAAGACAGCGTTGATTCGTGTTTGGGTTGAGATCCTGAGCTCTTTTATTGTACTATTTAGGCTTATTCGTGGTCATTTTTTGCATGATTTACTGCATTCATTTTTTATTCAGAGCGCCTCAAATTACAGTTAGTTTTCACAACGTGCAACCTAAAAATTGACTTTTTTAAGTGATTATATAAATGTATTTTCATTACTATACTACTTTTACCCTTATATTGCTAATACTGTCTTTCCACAAGCTTCAGCAGTCTTTCTAAAGCCAGCACAGGGAACGTCCACATTTTAAACTAAAATGCACGAGATATTTCAGAAAAGTTCTATTACTGATGTCTGAAAGGCTACATTTTCAATCCAAATGATAATGGGTTTCCCCTTCATCTTGGGCCAGACGGTCAACTAGCAAATCTTCAAAAAAAAAAAAAAATGGTTGCTTCATTCAGTGTGCGAGTGTGCGAGAAGATGTGTGAGCTGTGGCAGGACAACCCACAACACGTCTGTTCGCAATGCCCTGAGCATCACGCAGTTCCTGGCCGAGAACATTAAAAGCATCCTCAATCACACCTGAATTGTCTCCGTGGGATTTTCTTGATGAGACAACTCCAAGAAAGCCATGACGACAGAGGTGGAGGATCCTTGGAGAATACCTCCAGTATAGGCTGAAGGGGAAAACTTGGATTGTTTAGTTTTGATTTGAAATTTATTGTCTGTGACATCAGTCCTATAACTTTTCTGACATGCTCATTCAATTTTTTTTTGGGGGGGGGGGTCACCGTGGCATGACTAAAACATGCATGGCAGGTTGATGGAACACACTAAATAGGCCGTAGGATTAGTTGTTCGTCCATGTGTGCCTTGCGACTGTCTGGCTGCCAGTTCAGGGTGTTCCCGCCTACTTCCCAAAGACAGCTGGGATAGGCTCCAGCACAACCCTTGTGAGGAAAAGCAAATTAGAAAATAGATGGCTCGATAACTAAATAGATAAATGAGTGAGAAGAGGGTTAAACTGGGGGCGGATTTGGATGCCCTGATGCTCCTCGACGAGACCAAGAGCGTTCACTATAATTTTTTCACGACGTCACATTATTAGCCATCCCATAAGATACGAGGCTATTTGAACAAGTGACTTAGGTTAGAAGCTTGAACATTAATAAGGATACCACTAGTGTTCTTTTGGTGTGTTTTTTAACCGTGTTATCGCAACCGTGCTTTTTTGATTGCAATTTGTTAAGTTGCCATGCAAAAGGGGAAGTAGTAAGGAATAGATTCTCTCAACTGCGCTGAGCACTCTTTGGTTGAAGTTTCCACCTACACGCACGCAGTTGTCAGCAGAGTTTCTCAATCTGTCACTTTGCTAGGTGGAGTGCGTCTATTGAGGGCAAAGAAAACATGCACGCGGCAGCTTTCTGACAACCGCCCTGGTGTGGACCTTCTTCTACCGATTCGATCCGTTTCTGAACAACACCGCGCTTCGCTTTTGCTAAGCTCCTCTTTGCCCTTAAAATTTGGCCACTAAAGAGCAACTCTCGCGCGCGCGTGATACAAGTAGTAAACCATGCTAACCGACGTTAGCTGCACCGAAGCTAACTAGCTATGCCGCTGACCCAAAAAGTATAGGTTTTATCCCGGATTTTCCTTTTTTTTTCCCCCTCCAAAAGAAGTCGAGAAGCCTACGGAGACATGGGACTTCACCCGCTGGAATTCAGCGAATGCTATCTGGACAGCCCCTGCTTCAGGGAGAAGATTAAGGCTCACGAAGCGGAGCTGGACAAAACCAACAGGTTCATTAAGGAGCTGTACAAAGATGGCAAGAACCTTATTAACGCCACCAAACGTGAGTCTACTTGTAGTGGTCCGTCTGGGGTCAAGTTTATTGGTTGTCTTGTGGAAAGGTCTACTCGCAATGCAGAAGGTTTGCAGAACACTCCCCCTTCATACCTGGACAGTACGTTTGGCTGATGTGAAATGCATTGAAGCGGTTCCGATTGCGTCGAGACGTTTCGTTTGCACGAAGACGCTTAATTTATCGTCATGTCTCACCAGTCACTTGCAGAATACAGTAATAGGAAATGTGTTGTCAAAAATATGCGCTTAAAAATAAACGAGTGCAACTATCACCTAGTGTAGTGGATGTGCAATTACACGTCATCTAGTACACTAGAAAAAAATAACTTGTTAGCCCCCCCCCGCCCTTAAACCATTACACCCCTCCTAAAATGTGATGAATCAACTGTCATGACTGACCGAGACTCGTTTATCCCCACCTTTTTGGTTGACACTGCAGCGTTCACCATGCGACGAGCATTTAAATAACAACGTGACAAGTCAAGTTTATTTGGTAGTGCTTTCACTCTTAATCATAAAAGAGTCTCAACGGGCTTCACAAGTCTACAGTTGGCAAATATTAACGCCAATCCCTGATCTCAACCCCCCCTCCCCCCCAACTAGGCAACGAAAAACAAAAGATTTCCCAAAAATGACAGACTGACAAAATGCTGAATCTGGTGACAATAGCCCATTCAATCTGAATTAAAAACATTTTGAAAGTCACATGAAGGGTTCTGGAGAAATTGATTTCAATTGAGATTAAAATCGTATATCTTGATTCGTCACGACCAATATTTCTCCTCGACCCTTTTGTTTCGCCTTTTGTGAGTAATAGGGGCCCTCATCTTTTGCCCCCCCCCCAACAAACCTAACCGAAATAGTGCAAATGTAACATTACCGCGTTCAGTTCACACGAGAGGACTCAATTTGGTTTGTCATGTGAGCAAGAACATCAAAAGGTTTTAACCAAAAAAATCTGAATTGAGTGTCACGCAATTTGGTTTGTCATGTGAGCAAGAACATCAAAAGAATTTAACCAAAAAAAAAAAATCTGAATTGAGTGTCACACCCTGAAGTGTGAACACAGCTTTTCTGTCCACGACAATGAAAACGACATGTAAATAACATTATGCAGTTCGCCCGTATTTTCCACAGATAGCTTTCAATTTTGCGGAGAGTTTTCAAACCCACGGCAAATTCCGTAATCACAGATTCCTGCAGGGCCTAATTTGTTCTGGGGGGCGTTTAGAGGACCTTGAAATTCTCATTTCTTGTTTTGTTTAGTTTTTTTTGTTTCGAAAATTCCACAAGGCTGGCAATCACTAGTCATGTTGCAAATTTAATGTGTCACACCAGACACGGTGCTGAGTCACTCAGTGAAAGTGCACATTGTCACTTTCACTGCAGTCTTTTTTTTTTTTGCTTTCCAACGAGTTTTTTTTTTTTTTTTTGTAACCTGTCCGTGCGGGATGCCATGTCACTGCTGTGTCCTATTGTAAAAACCTCCCGCCTGTTACATCAGGTACTTGGAAACCGCTCTCAAGATTCTTCTCTAAACCTTTACCCCAAATTAAACTAATTTAACAGTAATAAAACAATGATCCAACTATGGAGACAATTAAAAAAAAAAAAACCTCAGTGTTCTAGAAAGCAATGTCTCTGGAGCTTCTTGCCTGAGCTCTGATCCAGTCAGACCGAAGCCGATCCGGTACACTAATAAAACAATAATCCAACTTTTAAGGAAGATTAAAATGCCACTGCCAGAAGCCCAGAGTGTCCTGGAATGTCCATATAAAGGCAATCCAGGACCAACAACATTTTAGAAACCAATGAAAAAAAAAAGCTGACAAGGATACTTTTGATATCTTCATCAAACAATCTTGATAAGAATTAAAACAGTCCTTTTTTTTTTTTTTTTTTTTTTTTTTTTTTTTTTTTTTTTTGCGCCACCCTTTTTTGGGCCGGCTTCTCTAAACCTTTACCCCAAATTAAACTAATTTAACAGTAATAAAACAATGATCCAACTATGGAGACAATTAAAAAAAAAAAAAAAACCTCAGTGTTCTAGAAAGCAATGTCTCTGGAGCTTCTTGCCTGAGCTCTGATCCAGTCAGACCGAAGCCGATCCGGTACACTAATAAAACAATAATCCAACTTTTAAGGAAGATTAAAATGCCACTGCCAGAAGCCCAGAGTGTCCTGGAATGTCCATATAAAGGCAATCCAGGACCAACAACATTTTAGAAACCAATGAAAAAAAAAAGCTGACAAGGATACTTTTGATATCTTCATCAAACAATCTTGATAAGAATTAAAACAGTCCTTTTTTTTTTTTTTTTTTTTTTTTTTTTGTGTTTTCTCTTGAGCCATCACTTTTCGGGCACGGTCTGACTTTGACCTCTTGTTGTCCTCCACCCCAGAGGCTCACCAGGAAGCCCGTCCTTTCTTCACTTAGCCCAAGTTTTTATGGTGACTTTTTCAGGCCTTGGAAAGGGTCCACAAAGTTAAACTCGAGTTTGGTAATTCGACTTGGAGTACGTTACATGAACCCAAAACGATGCGTGCCATTCTGCTTTGAGTTGCACCATATTATCGTTGCTTCAGCTCAACTTCCCATAGCTGACCTCTGGTTGTTCCACAGTCCTCAAATTAGCCGAGTTTCAGGACACAACTTACTTTTTAGGATGTAAACTTCTACCTATTGAGGAATATATCCTCTAAAATAAACTCGAATCTTTAGGACGTCCTCTCTTTTTTAAGGTATGTGTTGCAGTTAAAAAAAAAAAAAAACGCTCACGTTTTTGACCTCGAAACGATCCGATGTTGCGATGGTGTGACGTCTCTCGCTCAGCAACTCCCTTCCATTCCCTCAGCTGGGAGGATGTCCCGCTACGGAAAGTCCTTGGGTTTTGGAAAGGAAACTTGGCATCGGGGATACCAGGGGGGCGGCCAAGAGAGCCGTGACATGGAAGTGTCCACAAGAGGAGCAACAAGCAGATGGGCTTCTATTTCTTGGGTTTTTCCTCCTCAGGAACCATGTCCTGTCTGTAGCTGTTGCCCTTAGGAAACATGTCGATTGATGGTTTGTCGTCCTGGAAAAAGTATGAGCCGCGTATCTGACCGAAGGCCTCATTTGCGTTTAACCTCTTGGTCCCTCTACTGGAATTACCTGGGAGTTCAAAAAAAATCTCATCGTCATTTCCGCAGCCGGACTTGCTTGCGCCACTCGCCGCCGGTCTCCCTAGAAAAGAGGCGGCTTTGCGAGGGTCTGGGTTTTAAAGAGTAGTCGGCCTCCGTGTGCTTTGGCCCGCTCCGCTGCTCGCCATAATCACCTTGCGACTCGTGCCAAAGAGCCACATCACACAGCCTTTCATTAAACTTGCATTAGCCTCACGTTGGAGGTTTTCATCTCGGACCGGAGAAACAACAAGACGACAAGATTGCACTTTTGAGCATCGTAAAGGAAGGACGCCACCATTGGCGGTGGTGTGATCGCTCTTGCCGTAAATTAAAAAAAAAAAAAAACGAGAGAGAGATGCACATCTGCGACCAGCCACATGGTCATTGTTGCCAGGAGGCCTTCCAGCATGACCTCACTCTCCAGACTTGTTTTGAGAATCAGGAAGTGTCAGATGGACTAATGCATCCCTCGGTGGGCAAGGGATAACGGGGGGGGAGGGGGTTATGATCTCTGAGCAAGGCTGCGATAAGGGCAAACGTCGGAGGGGAAGGGGGCGCGGAGCGGATCCGCGTTTGTTGGACTGGAAAAGACGGCAGATTGAAACAGGAAGGGGCTGTGGAAAAGCAAAGCGTGCTTGCTGCTCTTTCAACGTCTGGGGGAAGGTGAGCTGCGACCGACGGGAGTGGAGCAAGCAAAACAAACAGGGCGCGTCGGGCGGATACGAAGAGGACATCTTCAGCGCTTAAAACTTGGACTTTCCCTTTCTGCTTTGTTTTCGGGGAAGCATTTGAATCAACTCTTGATGCGCTGCTCTCAAGACAACAATCGCAGCCACTTCCTAAAGCGAAAGAGTGAAAGAAATTGCAGTTGATACAGTACTCAATGGTTTTCATTTGACTTTTGGATATTTATGACCTAGTGGCCTGACTTGGTCTGTAGTGCCAATCACCCGTGTAGCGAACACACCCTAAACAAATGAAGACTTGAATTTTTAATGTGATATGAATCATTTTATGCTCCCCAAACATGCACCACATTTGATTCGGAATCATCATAGTTTCTTTGTCATCGTCATACTACAGCAGTGGTTCTTAACCTTCTTCGAGGTACCGAACCCAACCAGTTAATATGCACATTCACCGAACCCTTCATTAGTGAAAAGTAAATTTTTTTTTTTTTTTTTTTTTACAAATTCAAGATATAAAAACCCCCGCATGTATTAAAAACAGAAAAAAGTAAATAACATTTCAAGAGATAAGTATATATATTTTTTTGTACGTACTCTCACAACAGTCACACGTTGACTACGAAGCGAAACAAAATTTCCCACAGCACTGATTGGACATGCAATGTCATGTGATCATCTGCAGCCAGAGATGGCCAAGCGGGCGTGTCATAAATTGACACGTTACAATACAATACAATACATCCTGATTTATATAGCGCTTTCACAACAGCTGCAGCTGTAACAAAGCGTTGATTCGGGTGTGTCTTAATCTCCATGGCAGAGGCTCCGTCGAACCCCTGAGACCGATTCACCGAACCCCTCGGTTTCGATCGAACCCAGATTAAGATCCACTGTACTACAGGGTGCAATGAAACAGAACAGATGCAACCCATCCAAGTGAGAGAAAAAAACGGTGGCCAACAAGTTGATACAGAACGGGAGTCTGCCGGGTCACCTTTTACAGCAGCCCGTTTTGGCAAATGAGGGGAGGGGGGGAACCCAGACTAAACTCCTATAGGGGGGAAGCACACTATGGATTTGGAAAACAAGAAACACTTCTGTGCACGTGGCTGTGCACTGCACACCTCTTTCCCTGAGTAGGGGTACACGTGTTGATGTGACACAACCGAGCCTGTTTGTTTCCATACTTTCCAGGCTGGTCACAGAAAAGAAAAGCATGCCTGTAACATCAGATGGCTGCAAGGTGGAGTCATCTCATGACTCATCGCCTTGAGCCGACGGAGTGGGGGTCTCTGGCTTTCTGCAGAGCAACCAGCCAAGTTTGACAGTTCCCAGTTTTGCTCCAAAATGCCCCCCAAAACCCCCCCAAAAGTCCTTGGACTCCAGTCTGTACGGGTACGCGTGTGTTTTTTGTGGTGGTGATTCTGTCTCATTGGTACAAAGACAACTTTCTGGGTGAATTTGACATTTTGGGATGAGTTTTTTTTTTTTTCTTTAATCAGGGACACAAACTCACTTTTGCTTCTCTGAATGCTGCCTGTTGTTGATTAATGCCGGCGTCTCATGCTTTCATTCCTTGTGTTTTATGTCATGAAGTCCGCACAGCTTGTCCTCATAATGGCCTGTGTGAACCCTCCGCCCTTCAATCTGCTAGCCACGCGCGAGCCTTGCATCATCGCGCTGTGGCCGCGGGCTCGATCCGCGCCATCGCACTTGCGTGTCTTCAGTAGAATGCCACCCGTCTTCCATTAATCTCAAATATTAGACTCTTAGTTATAAGCATAACATTTTTTTAACCTGTCTCCAATTGATGTCATAAATACTGTGGCCTAGCTAGCACGGCTAACACCAGTCTGTTGTCGCTCTGACGTTACTTCACAAAGCGAAGAGACAATTCATGTCATAGATACTGTGGCCTCGCTATCGAGGCAGCTAATTCGCATGGCTAATGCCAGTCTGTTTTATCTCTGACGTTACTTCGCAAAGCGAGGAGACAATTAATGTCATATACACTGGCCTTGCTATCGAGACAGCTAACTAGCATGGCTAACGTCAGTCGGCTTTCGCTCTGACATTACTTCACAAAGCGAAGAGACAATGTCATATACTCTGGCCTCGCTATCGAGGCAGCTAACTAGCATGGCTAACACAGTCGGTTTTCCTTTAGATATTACTTTACAAAGTGCGGAGCAGCAGAGATGTAGCTATTTGCTTTCTGAGAAGTTAGCGCTTCTTCCCTTCTACATCGTGGTTTTGTTGAGAAAATTGAACATATATATATATATAT